ACTTCTGTTGAAGAAAGAAATAAGCTTTTGAGCATACACAGAGCTCTTCTTCAGATCGGTGTAAGCCCAAAACAATTGGAACAATTTGCCAGGGGTTGTGGTGGATTCTCCATCACTGACAATTTTTAAATTAAGCTTGGATGTTTTTCTAAAAGATCTGCTCTAGGAATTATTGTGGGGAAGTTCTATGGCCTTTGCTATATAGGTCAGACAAGATGATTATAATGGTCCCTTCTGGCCTTAGAATCTATGAAATCTTGTCTCTCACTAACAGAAGTTGATCCAGTAAAAGATTACCTCATCCACCTTGCCTCGCTAATATCTTGGGACTGTACTGCCACACAATGCAAGCACTTTAGAAGCATTCTGTTTGATTCTCCTCTCATGTACACCAGTGTAAACTGGGGGGATATCACTCAAGTGCCATGACATTACATTGGCTAAATGGAGGGGGGAAATCAGCCCCTTTAACCAGCCTTCATAGAACTTTTGGGAGTAAGGTAATAGGGCTGATCAAATAGTTTGTTGTTTTTTGTTTTTTTAAATGAAATGTGGCTCTTTGAATAATATTATAAAGTGCATATAAATCAAACATTTCAGAATTTTTTATAACATTATCCAAAATGAACAAAATTCATTTTGATTCAATCTCCATGGAATTTTAAACAAATAAAAATTAACATTTTGGATTGAGGTTTCCTTCCCCCCTTTTCCCTTTAATTTCAAATCATTTAATAGAAAAAGCAAATTGTGATATTAAAAATGCTACATCACTCAAAAATCAGTTAATGAAAAATGTATATTTATTTATTGCAGAGCAGCATTCCCAATTTTAACCAGCCCTAGCGACTAATATTATTATCCCCATTCTACAGATAGGGAGACAGGTGCAGACAGATGAAGTAATTTGCCCCACACGTCCAGAGCCAAGATTAGAACTGGAGTGTTCCAGGCACTGAGGTGTTCAAGGATGTGTTCAGCTGTTTTTATGATCACACTATCTTTGCAAACACACTAGTTGAAGAAAATGCAGAAGTCAGTTCAAATTTTCAGCAAACTGCCCTCCTTCCTAGAATTGCTCTACACCTGAAATGTTGTACTTCACCATCCATCCTCATCTGACCTTACAGAGCCTAAATGGTGCACTGACAACTGAATTGCAGAGAGAGAGAGTGTATTTGTTGAGGAATAACATCCCCTAAATTGCAAAGTCAAAATCTGCACGCAGAGCAAATCACATTCTTTTCAGTTAGTGGGTTTTCCTGCTTTTGAGACTCAAAGTCTTTTACAGTTTTGGCACAGTGTGAACTTGGGCAAGTCAACTTGCTTCCCTATGCCTTCATTTCCCCATCTGTAAAAAGGGGTACTACCAGCCCATGTTTGCGTGAGGCTATAGTGCTTAATTAACAAAAAGGACTTTTGAGATATTGGGATGGAAGATGCTATAGAAAAGCAGTGTGCACTTAAAGATAGATCATCACAAACAAAGATTCCAAGTATAGAAAGTGCTGTTGCTAGCTATGTTATTTTGCTGGGTTGCTGTCTTGTGCCAACGGATTTTAAGCTCTTTGACAGACATAATATAATATTTTATCTATTACTGAGCACATATTAAACATGACATTATATACAAATAATGTATTTCTACAGTAAGGTAAACGACTGATGAAGATTTTGTTTGGTTATTAATAGCACTACACTGGGCGTATTGTTCCAGTTCTGTCTTAGCTACCCCTTGATTGAAGAGAATACTGGTACAAGTAGATGAGTCAGAATTACACTTTTTAACAGAAATCAATGGCTAATGCTGTTTACTTTACTCATGTGACTCAAAGTGAGCAGGATTTAACTCATCGATCTTTGCCCCACAATTACTTCAAGCTGACTTTAGTAAGTGTATAAAGTAGAAGATTAGTTTACTTATTTACACGTAGGGAGGATGATCCACACTCTATTAAAAACAAAAACCATGCTGATTACTTGTAGTAGCAGGTATTGTTCTACAGAAAGGCCAAATCCTAAATTATCTGCTTACCCAAAACTGCCATTGAAGTCTATAGTTCTGAATGCACAAGAAAAACAGGGCTAGGTTCCAAGGCATGCTGGTTTAGCTGATTCCCACGATAGCCTCTGCCATAAATATTTACTTTCACTTAACATAGTTTCTAAAAATCACAGGTGAGCCTAGTAACACATTAGCCCTTCTTGCATGCAGAGGATTTTGCAGGTCACTGATTAGATCTGAATTCTGGGAGAAGCCATTCTGAGAATTCGATTGAAGACAGTTTTAGTCGCCAGAAGCCATTAGTTCACTGCCCAGTGCTTATGAAATCCCACCCTTTAACATGTTCCCTCTGACACCATCATCCATGTATTATTCATTCTAAAAAATAAGACATGTCATATCTGGTGATGAACCAGGCAGACAGACCCTGAAAGAACTCAGGTGACATCACTTTCACTGGGTTGCATTAATAGGACAAACTGTCAAGGTGAACAAGAGGATGGCATCAAGGCCCAGAATTTAGCAAGATTCAAAGGATTGGATGTTTATACAGATAAGAATATCCAGTTAGGACAGTATTTAATGCAAATAAAGTGAAATCCTGGCCCCACTGAAGTCAATGGGAGTTTTAACACAGACTTCAGCGGAGCCTGGATTTCACAGAAAGTTTGCAAGGGATAAAAAAAACCTCATGCTTCAGGGTTAGTCACTCTCTCACAATCACAATTAGGAGGCAGATTATCCCCTATCTGCCTACTGCATAGCTCTTGCACCTTCCTCTGAGGCATGGGGAGTGCTAACTACTTTAGAAACAAGATATTGGCTTAGATAAGCCAAGGGCATTATTTAGCATAACAATTCCTTAATTCCTAACTAGTCTAAATATAAACTGTATAGAAATTTTAACTCAAGAGAACAAATCTAGATGGCTGCTCCAGATTAACAATTTCCACTGTGCCTTTGTCATTTAAAATAAAGTTAGACCAGCAGTGAAATGGCTCAAGTTGCCCCATAAGCCATCCATCCATAGTACATCACATATTTACAGTGGCTGACCTTGTTATCTTTCTATACTTTAGATGAACTGATTTGGTTAAAGGTAGGATGCAATACATGAAGTGTAATTAGTTAACTTTATTTCAAACTACTTTTGATAAATTATTCTGTGAGATGGCCATACAAGTAAAATTGTCAGAATAGGGACAGTGGAGGAGCATACCTTAGGAGAACAATTTGTATTCAGTAAAAAACAAATGGTTTACCCAATTAAGAATGAGACAGGTTGAAGATTAGTTAATGCAGCCTTTTAGATGTAAATCAGATGTCTTTCCCTTTTTTATTTTAACTGGCTCAGCTCAAAGTTAATACCCTTTGCTTCTTCAGGTGTACTTTCTGCTAAGAGCAGTATGGTTAGTGGTTTCAGAATTATTCAAGAAACATCCATTCTCTAGCACAATGGGGAATTTCCTTATATGTGTTTAATGAGTTTGTTCCTCTGTAAGAACTGAAATGTGACTGTCAGGGCACAGAAGCGGACTGAAAGATTCATTCTGAATATTACCTTAATTGACAACATACAATGAAGTCTCACAGTTGTTTATTATATAATTAATTCATAACCATTTCTAGTACACATTTCCATATTGTTTAATGCTTTTATTTTTTTTAAGTCTCAGGGACTCCCAAACTTCACCCAACTGAGAGTCACAGTAGCAGCTTGCCAGGTGCTAGAAGGCTGTACCTAGTTTGTAAAAATGGTGCAAGTTGATATCACTTTCATCTGTAATACAGAGGTGTAGGGCTTGGAGACTACATATCCCAGCATGCAATCCTTGATCACAATTAGGCTGCTAAGGAGAGACAGTGACAGATTTTGCTGGGCTGCATTTGATTACATGCCTCACTTTGGCCACATCAGTTTAACTCATGTAGCTGTCTGCATGCAATGCTCTACTGTAGAAAACAAAGATCTTTGTACTGTTGGAGTAAAAACAGTGGTAACAAAGTCATAGCTACATATTCTTCTCTACATTTTT